ATAGAACAACATGAGCAATCTCTTAATACAGAGCTTTACTGCTAATGGTTTTTCACTCACATTATTTCCTTATGCTTTGAATGATATGATACAGTGTAAACCTGGAAATGACCAGCTTCCTGCCTATTGCTCATGACCCAATTCAATCCACTGTACATAACAAATTAGTGTAGTCAAAGGTGCCTTAAGGAGCATGGGACAGATATGAACCTAAATTGTTTCCTTCTTTGCTTCCTTAGCTGGACACCTGGGCAGTTTTATGCTGGCCACAAAGATCCACCTCTTCGAAATGAGGAATATCTCCAGAAGCAACAGAGCACATGTTTTCTGGCATCTTTCTTTTGTTTAATCCAAATATTGACACATTCTCTCTTAAATATTTAAGATACCTGGTGAGAAAGCCAAACAGTATTACTCAAATTCCTTAAATCGATGATTAAAGATGTTTAATCTTGTCTTTCAAATAACGCACTGGAGGTGTAGCTCGCCAGAATGGCTGCCAGGCCTTGTGCAGACCCGAGTTACGGAGTAACTAACAAAATCACTTCAACGTAAACCAAGTTAATTCTCACCTATTGTCAATTCAGCATAGCTCTGATCTCGTTAATGTCTATCACTTAACCTGTGACGAAAAACTATCCTGAAGTCAACTATTCATAATTTTGAATTTATTTACTTATTACCTGGTAGGGAATCATAGAATTTAACACCGGGAAAGATTATGGTTGACAGAGGGACTTCAAAAAGTTCTTGGAAAAATGCATAGTATGAAAAAACTGTAAGATTTTAAAACATTTTTGCACCTACATTTATTGATTTTCCTTAAACTTTTGGATTTTAAAGATTCATTTTATTTACTTGAAAGGCAGAATGACAGAAGAAGGGAGTGACACAGGGAGAAAGGAGAGAGAGAGAGAGGGAGATATCTTTCATCTGTTGTTGGCTGCAATGGTGAAGGGTTGGGTAAGGCTGAAGTTAGGAGCAGAAAATTCCATCTGAATCTCCCACATGAATGGCAGGGGCCCAAGAATGTGTACAATCTTCTTCTGCCTTTTAAAACAATTATGTATTTTTATTTGAAAGGTAGATTTTACACAGAGAGAAGAGACAGAGAGATCTTCCATCTATAGGTTCACTCCCCAAATGGCCACAATGGCTGGAGCTGGACTAGTCTGAAGCTGGGAGCTGGGAGCTTCCTCCACATCTCCCATATGCATGTAGGGTCTCAAGGACTTGGGCCATTCTCCACTTCCTTCCTATTCCTAAAGCAGGGAACTGGACAGGAAGTAGAGCAGCTGGATATGAACTTATGCCCTTATGGATGTGGATGCCACAGGCAAAGGATTAGGCTGCAATATCACTGTGCTGGCCTCTACTTCCCTCTGTTTTTCCAGATACATTACCAGGGAGCTGGATCAGAAGTGGAGTAGCTCGGACTCAGAGCAGCACCCAGGTGGGACAGTAACATCCCAGGTGGTGGCTTAACCTGTTGAGTCACAAAGCCTATCCCCAAACCTAGGTCTTTTAGTATTTTTCCTTGACTCCCTCCTTTGCCTCTTGGCTTTCATTACCGAAAGAATAACTGGCTCTGTGGACTTTCTTGGGCAAAAAAAAAAAAAAGCTTGGATTCATTAATTACTGTCAGCCATTCTCTTTGGCTTCTGATTTTCAAAGGTCGTTTTTTTTTTTTTAAGATTTATTTATTTTTATTGGAAAGTCAGATATACAGAGAGGAGGAGAGACAGAAAGGAAGATCTTCCATCCAATGGTTCACTCCCCAAGGGGCTGCAATGGCTGGAGCTGAGCCAATCCGAAGCCAGGATCCAGGAGCTTCTTCCAGGTCTTCCATGTGGGTGCAGGGTCTCAAGGCTTTGGGTGCTTTCCCTAGACTGCTTTCCCAGGCCACAGGCAGGGAGCTGGATGGGAAGTGGGGCTGCAGGGATTAGAATCGGTGACCATATGGGATCCTGGGCGTGCAAGGCGAGGACTTTAGCCACTATGCTATGGTGCCGGGTCCCCAAAGATCCTTTTCAAGAGGACAGTTCACAACTGGGTTATGCTTGGAAGGTTCTCCCTGGGAGTGCCTGTGTGGCCCCAGTCCACCTGGGCTCTGCTTCCATGTCCCACTGTACTGTGGACAGCCCTTTAAGTCCCAGAAGGCATTGGAGTTGGCAGCAACCAAAATTACCCCTGAGGCACCTGCCTCAGATTTTCTTATGCACATTTCCCAGCTCCCCAAATCTATGCATTTCTAGAAATTTCTTTTGATCATTCAGGGATTTGTTGTAATGGGTCCAAAGGGCTGGATGGGTTCATTTCCTTAGGGCACGACCTCTCCCTCGGGAAGAATTCTGCACCCACAAATCACAGATGGAACAAGGAAGCATTTTTATTCGTGTGCCCACATTCCCTCTTTTTCTTTTGAGCAGGCTACCAAAGGCTTCAGGATTACCCCTCCTGCCTGCTCCTCACCTCGAGTGTAAACAAATCATAAATTCTGCAGCAAAGCAGAGCAAAGGTTTTAAAGACGGTGTTTACAACCGGGCTTGATCTCGCAAAAACTGAACTTTACTCAAGATAGAGAAAAATCCGCGCAAGAAAGACAAGAGACAGGGAGCTTGCGTTGCACAGATGTCTCCTCTCCGCATCAGCCCCGCCCCTACCTGAGCCAGAAGCACGCATTCCTCCAGCCCGGAGCCGCAGCAGGCACCTTTGCACATCTTCGACCCAAGTGAACGGGCTGCGGACACTGCTGTCCACAGGAGTGGTCAGTTAGGTGCTGGAGATCCTGCAAGAGGCTTCTGTGGAGGGGAGAGAATGCTCAGAGCATCCAGCCTGCTTATTCTTCCCAGAAGTACAGATGGTGGCTGCTTGGAGACTGGACTTCAAGGGCTCAGGACACCTGCAGGGGGTACTGGTCCCGCTGTGGGAAGTGTGGGTTCAGAGCAGTCCCTGGAGGGGGAGGAATAGGGGAGGTTGGCCTGCCATTGGCCCATTAGCCCAACCTGCCAAAGCTGGCTTTCCCCCGTCTCTTCTTAGTGAAAACATCTTGGCCAAGCCGGAGAACTATTAGCAGATCATGGAGACAACGAAACTAAGCGTGGCCCAATCTTGTAGATTTCTTGGAGGAGGCACTGTAAATTTAAAAAGGGGAAAAAAAGAGATGGTTTCTATGACCGTTCAGTCATCTGTCATGTCGGGAGCGCCTGAAATGATATTGCCTTTGCTACCCACAGCAAGCACAGGGAGTGGCCCTTGGCTGCCTCTGCCTGCGCCCCGGGACGTCCAGCCCACCAGCCCTGCACTCACCAGGGCCGCCATGCTGCCCCCAGAACTCACTGCGTGGGTGGTTATAGCTCCGCCTGGGTCGATTTCTCACAGGTGTTCATCTCTCTAGTTGCAGGAGTTTAGGATTGCTGAGTTCAAGCACGCCTACTGACATCGTCCAGGTGTGGCGACACTCTGTCCTGAGCAGGATTGAGCTCTGAATCTAGAAAGCTATACATTGCAGCAGGCCAGGTAGAGACAGGCTGGCATGACTGTATGTCCCCGGCACGTCCTGTTTAAGACTGGGACTGAGCCCACGAATCTGCACCAGCCTGGTGAGAAGTGCAATCTTGACGCTGTGTTTTTATCTGAATAATCATTATTCCTCCATTCATGTGAAGTTCCATAGACATTGCTATCGCAGCTCTTCCAACGCCCTGCCTTTTTTTATTTTTATCGTCATGTTTCCTAACTGCAAAGTGTGCTTGTATAGGAATGCCCCTCTACCAATTCCTCAAAGCTCCCATTTTAACCTTTTCTTGCCCATGGAGTGCCACTCCTGCTACCTCTTGTGGGGCACAGAGAGGGGGTCTGAGGGGCTCAGAGTCCAGAAAGCTGACAAGGTCAGTGCTGGTCAATACTAAAGCCCCACTGCAAGGCCAGCCCATGTCAGCAACAGACATTTTATTTGAAATGCCATAAACTTCAGGGTGCAATAAATAGAGGGGCTGTGACCGATGGTTGCTTGCTTCAGAAGTGGAGGGAGGTGATTTCACTGCGCACGATGTGCCAAGCACAGAGTAAATAAATAACACTCAGCGAGTTATGAATTTGTTTAAACAGTGGGTGTCTCGTTGGGTATCAGAATCGTAAATGTGCCTGAGGTCCCTTTTATACCGTCCTGTGGGTATGGCTGTGCTGATCCCTAATTGCAACAGCCCCTTTCCCATTGCTTTCAGCACAAACGGTCAACTCCGGAGGGAGAGATAAGCTTTCAGGAATGGGAGGCTTCTTAATGAACAATGAAAGCCCCAGAAAGCCGTGTTTTTATGGAGGACCCTGCTTCCTCGGTTCACTCCACATGTTCTGCCTCTATCTTTTAAAAAAAAATTTTAAACATTTTTTGTTTTAAAAATAATTTTTCTTGATAATAGGTAAAAAGTAGTTACCAAGATTAAAACAATTTACAGAATTGAGAGTAAATGACTTAAAAAGTACAATACTATAAGTTTATTAAAATTAATGTTAAAGCACTATGAGTTTTGATATACAAATTCAAAGTTCTTGCGTTAGGAGAAAAGTCAGGGGAGAATGTAATTGTTGCTAATGGTAGATTCGGAGCAGAGCTGAGAGCAGGGATAGTAGTTCACCCATCTTTCTAACTTTTCTCTCTCCTTTTTAGTTGTTTTATGATACAGTTCGATAGGCTCTGGGATTTCCTCTCCCACCTCCCCAATTGCCCTCTCCCCACTGATTTCCCCGAATATTACAATAGTATAGTCCTTCATAAGCAGTCCTAAGTCCATCATTCAGCTCTTAAAGCTCATCCTGACACCGTAGGTATGGACAATGGCAGAGTTGACATCCTATTGTCGAGATATGGTTAACAGTTTCATTGGGAGACCATCTTTGGAAGTAGAGATGCATACTGCATCTGGATATGGATAGTCTCCATTACACAGTTACTATACATCCCCTTAAATGAAATGCCACAATACAAAATCAACAACAGGGTGCTCGCTTCAGCAGCACATATGCTAAAATTGGAACAATTACAGGGAAGATTAGCATGGCACCTGTGCAAGGAAGACGTGCAAATTCGCGAAGTGTTCCATATTTTTGACCATTATGCTCCGTGGAATGAGTCAATCACAAAAGAACAAATACATGGAAAGTGTAACTCCAATAGTCCAATCCATACTGTTTTTTGATTTTTGTTTGCTTTTTTGGCTGTATCCCATGTGTTTTGATGTTTTTTTATTTCAGTTTGGTTCATTCCAAATAATCTCTTTTCTCTAGTCAAATTCATCACAGGCTCATGAATTATACAATGGCATAATTTTTCCCAAGAGACTTCTGTGTTTCCTTTTTGTCACTCATGTGTTGGTTACTCAGTGGCACATTTTTTTTTTCATGGTACTATAATTTGTTGTTGTTGTTGTGGCTGTTCTAACTCATACCAGTTGTTGACCTTGTTTCATGGCTTCTCACTTATGGAAATGTATAATGATGGAGTACTGGGGTCTATCATATACAGACGTGGGGGTATAATGTTACATGCATCCCTGCTTCCAGACGAAAGATGGATTCCCAATGAAACTGTTGGACATTTGTAGACAATGGGAAGCTGGACTGTCTGACATTGTCTGTACCAACAATGTCGGAGTACAGTTAAATAAGAAACTGATAGAATTATGATTCCTTAAGAAGGACTATACCATTATAGTAAAATGGGGGAAAATCTGTTGGGGTGGGAGTTTGGGGGGAAATCCCAGCATATACAAAATTGTACCACATAATTCAAAATGCAAAATAAAAATATATTCAAAAAACCCCAAATCAACAAACAATAGGAAAGAAAACAAGAAGAAAATAAATGTCCCTCTCAATACTGTTTTTGCTACATCTGACAGGTTTTGATATTTTTGTTTTTGTTTTCATTTCTTTTTTTTTATTGATTACATGGCATTATGTGACAAAGTTTTATAGGCACTGGGATTCCTCCTCCCCCAAACCCACCCCCCCCACGGTGGATTCCTTCAGCTTGTTGCATTACCACAGTACAAATTCAGTTGAGATTCTTTCATAGCAAGCATCTACAAAGCATAGAGTCCAGCATCTTATTGTCTAGATAAGTTCAATGGTTTCTTGGTTGTTTTCATTTCTTAAAAAAAGCTTTTAAAAATTAATTTCTTCACTGACATGTAGGTCATATAGTAGCATCATTTTCTTCAAGAAGGTCTCTGATTTTCATTTCTTCAGTGACACATTAGTCATTCAATAGCATGTTTTTTAACTTCATGTTGTCATGTTTTCTATTTATCTTCTTGTTTTTGATTTTGCTTTTAGTCATTTATTTTCTTTTTCTTTCTTTTTTTTTTTTTAAGAGCGAGAAAGAGACACCTTCTATCTGCTGGCTACAACACTTGGGTTGGGCCAGGGCAAAATCGGGAGCTTGAAATTCCATCCAGATCTCCCTGTGCGTGGCCATTACTGCCATCCCCCAGGATCCACCCTCCCTTCCTCCTTCCTTCCTTCTCTCCTTCTTTCTTCCCTTTTTCCTTCCCTCCCTTCCCTAGCTCTTTCCATCCCTCCCTTCCTCCCTTCCCTCCTTTCCTCTTTCCCTCCTTTCATCTCTCCGTTTCTTCACTCCCTTTCTTCCTTCCTTGCTTCCCTCTTTAATTATTTCCTCCCTTCTTCCTTGGTTCCTTCCTTCTTTCTTCCTTTTCATCTTCCTTTTCTCTTCCCCCTCCCTCCTTCCCTCTCTTCCTTCCTTCCCATCTTCCTTCCTTCCTTCCTTCCTTCCTTCCTTCCTTCCTTCCTTCCTTCCTTCCATTCCTCCTTCCTTGCTTCCCTAGGATGTAGTTCAGGATCACACGTTGCTTTTCCCCTCAAGCCTCCATGATCTCTTCTTCCTGTCTCTCCCTGCCTTTCACAATCTGGACTAGGAGGTCACTGGCTTTTGTGCTGCAGGCTGGCTCAGCCCTGGGTTTGTCTGGTATCCTCTCACAAAGGCCACGTGGTCTGGGCAGGAGAGGACACAGCAATGCTGTGCTGAGACGGGGGCCATTGTCAGCCACCTCACTATCAGTGGCTTGAGTTGGCCTCCCTTCATCGCGCCACACTCTCCACCACGAAGTTCCCATTTTTCTCTCATAATTGACTAATGTTTTGTGAAGAAGCCAGGGAATATCCTGGTTCTCACTACTTCTTCCACAGAAGTCCCTGTTGGCAGCTCCCTTCTCAGACACCATGATGGCTCACAGTTTCCTATTTGAGTCATTCCTTCTGGCCTCTGACACTCTGCTGCTGCTGGGGTGCTCCTGTTGCTCTTGTTTCATCTCTAGATATGCACACGTGTTCACACCAACATTTTTACACAGGGGAAACCTTCAGCAGCTTCATGGAGAATGTATCTTATGAAAAAGTCTAGGCAAGAATTTCACTCTTTCCCCACTGAAATAACCATATTTTCCCACAAATGTTCTGAAGTACATTTATATATATGCATTGATTCTCTTTCTTTTTTAAAGATGTCACTTTGATATACCTGACAAGTGGGGTGAAAGAGGAAGAGAATCTTTCATCTGCTCATTTGCTTCCCAAATCCCCACAGCGGCTAGGGCTGGGCTAGGCTGAGACCAAATCCAGAAGTCAATCCAAGTCTCCAATGGGGGTGACGAGGGCCCAAGTATTCAAACCTCCCAAGATACAGATCAGAAGTAGAGGAACTGCAACTGGAGCTGGCACTGTGATGAGCATCCCATAACCGTTGTGCCTCAACACCTGCACAGATTTGCACTCTTGAACGGGCTGAGACCTGTACTAGTTACTTTGATGCTCAGAATGACTATATTTAACCGGTGTGGAACCTCTTCAAACTGACTCACACTGCCTCCCCACCATTCATTGTAGCTGTCCCTTACTTTCTGTCCCAAAAAGATGTTCTAGGCTCATCAGCCCCAAGCAGCAATAAGTCATTGCTCTAAGGGGGCTCTCTGGTTCCTTTTAGTGGAGGATGGTGTTGAGAAATTCAAGATCTAGTCACACACAGACACATCAATGTCTGTTTCCATGCATGGGTTATCAGGTCATGAGTCCACACTTCCAATGTTGATACATCCCCTTTCTGATAAGAGAAACACACTTTCGTGGTCCCTGTTGGTCTACTTTGCTCAACACCTTCTTATGTACTCAACTCCCTCCTACTGCAGCTTGATTGCTGCCTCTGTGGCTCCTTCCAGCTTCCACCCTTGTCCTCTAGTCTCCTGCTTGGCCCTTGGGCCTGCTGCCATCTCTGTAGCTTCCCTTCCCTCTTCCTTCCTGTTCTGGCTGCTTCCTTGGTCAGTGAGCAGATCCACTGCTGCCTCTCTGCACAGGAGAAGGGCCCCAGGGACCATCCCTTCTGCATTCACAGTCGCAGCCCAGAGCTGAGCTGTGAAATCAGGGCAGCGGTGAAAAGGAACTTTGATTTCTCTTCTGCTGTTTTCCATTGTACGTGAGCAATGCTGTGCTGCTGTTCAAAGACAACAGCAACTGTCTGACAAGTGTCTGAGGATACTTGTCAGTTAACGAAGACACTGAGCTGAGCCTGAGTTGTGGGGAGTGACACTGAGTGACACTAACGAAGACACTGAGTTGTGGGGAGTGGAGGAACTACTACTTTAAAGCAATTATCTATTTGAGAGACAGAGGATATGCATGCTTCCATCCACTGGTTTTCTCTCCAGATGCCTGCTAGGGCAAGGTCAGACTAGAGCTAGGAGACATGAGCACCTGAGTGCCCTGTGTGGGTGGTAGAGACCCAAGGACTTGAGCCTAGTGCCTCCTGGTGCCTCCTGGGATCTGCTTTAATAGGGAGCTGCAGTCAAGGGTGAACCAGGATTGGGAACCCACGTGCTGAGATATGGGATACAGGTGTCTAAATCAACACCTTAATTATTATGCAAATGCCCATCCCTAAGGATGTTTTTTTCAATCTGTGTGTCACTGTTTCTTAATAAGACCCATGGTGTTTTTTGAGTTAGGTTTTATTAGGTAGACATCACTTCCTGACATCCTGAACAGGCTTAGTATTCATTCTTTCCCCCTCAATTTTTATAAGTGTCCAAAGAACATTTCTATAAAAAGTCTCACCTGGCTTTTTTTTTTTTTACTTTTGAGTGGGGAGGGAAGCAGAAGGGAAGAAGGCAAAACTCATACATAAGCAGGGACAAAGCAAAAGTTGCAAAGTTCAAATCAAACCTGCCATAGAGACCTCAGGCTTAGTATCCACCTGCACCTTCTCAGGTAAATGTGGGAGGGCTGGTGGAAATCTATCATCTTGAAACAAAGTTGTTTTTGAACCTCCCTTTCTCCCTATAAATGAATTGAAATTTTAGTAAAATTAGTTATTTTGCTTTGCCAACTGCTTAGAATGTTCCAGTCATTTGAACACTTCTCCCATTCAGAGCAAGAAGTAAAGCTTTGGAGCAAGCATGATGTTCAAGGTTCCAGGGTGGGCCTGGGAGGGAGACAGCGAGCCTAGACCCACAGCCACACAAGCCCATGATGGAGGAAGGCACACCTGGGCCCTGCCTTGGGGCCTTGAGCAAATGATATCATTTCTCAGTGATCTGTGTAGACTGCTCCTGGGGGAGAAGGGAGGTGAGAGAGAGAGAGAGCACGCATGCTTAACACACAAAAAGGACTCTGTAATCATCCTTAGGATTATGAGGTGAAGTTCAGCACTTGACCTTGGTGGTTCCCTGTTCCATTTGCCCCATTGCAGCATAAGCACGTGAGAACTCTAGTCACCATCCTGCTGGCTCACATTTCCCAGAGGATCCTGAATGTTTTAGAAAACTAAAAATCAAAACTCAGGTGCCTTGACTTCCCATGGTGTCCCAGGTGTCCCCACAGCCTCTGTCCTCACCTGCTTTAAGTGAGGATCCCTTGCATGGGTCCTCAGAGAAAGACTTCTGTGTAAGTAGCTTATTGTGGAGACAGGTCAGGGGTAGGAGGAACAGGCCAGGGAGAAGAGGCCCCTGGCAGGGTGAGATTTCTTTATTTATTTTTAAAGAATTATTTTATTTTTATTGGGAAGGCAGATATACAAAGAGGAGAGACAGAGAGGAAGATC